TGAATAATGAACTACATTAAAAAAGGAACTGGATATTTGTATGGATAAGAATGATAGCCAGTTACAGGTTCATGCAAATGTACCTTGAAAGAGAATTCAGATGCCAGCCACCAGGGTCTGAAGGTGTCCCTTGGCTTATGATGATGAGGCAGGTGGTTGGTCTGGATGAACCCGGCACTGCCTACCCTAACGCCGCACCCATCCATGTTTACACCAGCCGTGACTGGAGACAGGATACCCAAGCCAGAAGCTGTGCTTGCGGCTGCGAGTTAAATCTGCTGGTGATAGCCTGCCAGCACCCAGGCTGAGGGGATGCAGACCATTCCCTACCATACCCCTCAGCGCTTGGCCTCCAAAGCTGGGTGGCTTGCCAGCTCCACTGGGAATAACTCACTGGCCAGGAGCAGATGGAGAAATTGCTAATCAGCTCAGGGCAAACGTTTTTAGGGGTCTTTATAGGCATTCAGTTCTCAACATGTGCTCAGACATGTCAGTTGACTAGTATATCCGTAGCCAGAGAGACCTGAACTGTGTCCAGTACACCAGTTCCTCCACCTGAAAGATCCTATGCACCAGTATTTTTGCCTGCTTAGGCAATGGTTTCAGCTCTTTCATTCGCATGTCCACTAGTTCTTTGACGCCACATCCCACCAAAGGAGATTGTTGTTTCCATATCTACACTAAATGTCTGTGGAGGCTCCTCTCCACCCCACTAATGCTCTTACAGCAGCACTTCTCATCCACCCAACACACGATGGGCTTGAAAGTCTTGTTACACATGATACAGGATGCAAGGCGGTGATGATACAGCGAAAGCAAAACTGTTTGATGTTTAAATTGCAAGCATCAAAGTCACGAAAGGGCACATGGCCAGCATTAAAACATTTCTGAAATAAGTGGGACAAGAACCTGGGTGTAATCCATCTATTCTCTGGCCATGATTTGACTGTGAGGTAAATTGGGCTTGTTTCTCCTTGGGAAAGATAGGAAATGCAGAGAAGCAGCAGCTTTATTTGGCCCTGAAACCTGCACCTTTGGGTATGGAAACCATAGCCAAGAGAACAAATAAATAAAAGCAACTGCAGAGTTAAGGTTTTGTGCACGCATACTATTAAAAAACCCACAGCAAACATGGGGTTTTTTTAGAGCATCATGTATCAAAGTAGTCATCAAATCTTTATTCTTCTAATTTTATATATAACCCTTAACTAACTGTGTTTTTCTTCTGTCTTTCCCTTCTTTGTCTGAATAACGCTGAGATCAAATACCCTTTCTGCACAGGTAGTTTTGGATTAAGCGTACCTCCCAAGTGTATCTGGAGAAGTTTGTCATAGCTTCATGAATCCCTGAATCAGCGAAGGAAAACATTCCCAACCTGTGCCATAATGAAAACCAGGCTGTTAAGAAACGAAGCAAGTGATTCATTCTTCAAGATAATTTCTACAGAGTGCTGCTTCATTAAAAATGATAGAGTGACAAACTAACGATAATTATTTTGGTTGCTCCTCCTCCTGGAATGGTATCTAATTAAAAGTAACAGCTGAAAAGGAAAAGTACATCATGATTTTTTGAATATATTTAGACACACTAATAGTTGTGGTTTTGCGTTTATATATATGCATGGTCTTTATATGTATATATATAGAACCAGTACTGGGCTATACTGAGAAGAAAATGGAGCCATGCGTGTCTTCTGATGTTTTTGTAGGAATTGGTGTTTTCTGAAACAAATAACTTCAATATAATAGAAAGAAAATATAGCAAGACATTAATTCACCTTTACTCTCCATTTTGTTTAAAAAATTGTAACACTGATGTAAAAAAAACCACCCCAAACTCCCTAATGTTTCAAACCAAAGGAAAAAAACGTTGAAAATGGCTAGTTGGGAACAAAAACCTACTAATGGCTAACATTATTTAAGACTAGGCTACTGTACTGTTGTTGTTATATCGGTCAGCGCTTGCTGAGACAAACAGTATCAGGTCGGACAATACAACTGCTGCTGAATCAAACCCAGACCCTTATCAGTGTGGTTCTCGGCGCTGTAATCGTACAAGTAGGCTTGAAAACCAGCACAGGGACCGAGGGCTCAACGTGGCTGCTATTGCTCGGCAGCGCGCTGATAAGTAACCAGACAGACACACTTTGTTCCGTTTTATGTAATAGCTATTGCAAAGTAAAAGTCAATAATATGTGAGCGGCCAACAGTTCAAGGATGCATCTCACAGTCAGGTGATATGCTCCTGTACCAGGTTATTCTTTAAATGCACGAGGCTAAAATTGACATCCTGCGCTTCAGTGCTACATATGTAACCCCACCAGACAAACACCAAGGTAACCAAACAGCAAGGAGAAAAAAAAATACTTTTATGACCCAACTGAAGTGGCAAACTAAAGAAATTCAAAGTTTACTGAAACAATTCAGGAAATTGAAAGTTTTGGTTAACTTTGTTTAGAGAACAGCTGTAAACTATCAAATAAAATTGTAGGGGTATATTTTACTAAACTTTTTTAATTCTAGGATTTTACGATCTTTCCTCTTCCTCCAAACAAATTACCAAATCAAAAAATTCCACACACATACTCACTAATACCAACTTGACTTGCAAACTAATAGTTGAATAGGATGCCTCAGTGCACAGAATAACTGGAGATGTTGGTATCTCAGAAGAAAGCTGTATACTGTTCTAAGCTAACCTAAATGATTCCTGGGCAATCTTTTCCCCTGTTTCTCAAAGATCAATTCCAAAATCTGCAAGCTTAGCTTCTTCTAAGAAAACTTGTTCATAATCTTTTTGTTTGTTTGCTTTTCTTCAATGTTTTAAACAACTGCATTTTCTGTTACCTTGTCTCCACAGGTTGGTGTTATTACTATCAAATCTGGGTTTTGTCATTGATTTCATACTGTTGTTGCTTTGCTGGATTTTAGCATCTGCACCATCCCAGTGCTTGGAATGATGTTGGTAGGAAAACACCAGCATACTTGCTCATGCAATATATTACTATGACACATTTGGGCTACAAAGGCCTACCAAATTCACCATGAACGTGAAGAGGTCTACCTGTGTTCATCTTGTATGACAAGTGGAATGCAGATACTTTCCCTCTTACAATGCACAAAAAAACCCTGCCCTGCCAGGCACTTGTAGCAGTAACCTAAATGAAAGGCATGGGCCAGTCTTGAAAACTGCAGGATTATAGAAAACATATTTCAGCTTTCCAGGTTAAAACCAGATATACAGATTTGAAAATATTAATATGTTTTTTGATAAGAGACCTTAAATGTCAGAGCTCAAGTCAGATCATTATTGCCTTTTAAAATGCAAATTTAAATAGTGGGTTTTGGTTGTTTTTTTTTTTTTTCTTTTTTAGACATACTTGCTTTTTGTGAGACTTGGAAACCTACGGTTTTATATGTAGGAGCCATCTTTTATGACAGATGGAGTTTAATATCTATAACCACTGTATAGGCTATGCTTACATGAAAAGAAAGATGAGGCTTGATGTACAGACCCCATGCACACAAGCCCATCATATATATCTGAAAACACTAGGAATTATCAGGCTGGTTTTTAAGAAAGTGGACATTTGGAGCAGTGATTTTGAGCTCTTAGTAATCCAGGGAAGATTTGCCACTATCAGAATAGAACTACCCCTCTTTTTAGAAGGTGTTGCGTCAAACTGTACAGTAGATAGATCCTGGTGGCTCCAGCTTAAATCTATGAGCAGTTGTATTTGTCAGGAGTAAACATTAAGCTTTGAATAGTCTGATTTTTATGAGCGTAACAGATTTAACTTTTGTGGCGTTTAATTAATCCCAGATATAAAAAGCTCCTGAAATACCTCTTATTTACCACGACTTATCTTGCATCTGTTAACTAAAAGTGAAAAACACTATAAAAATGCAAATCATGCTTAAGATGATTTGTAGTTGAGAAAGTGTATGGTAATAAAGAAACTAATTTGAGAAGCCAAATGTATGCAGGTTTAAAACAATTCGTTTTCCATGATGAGAAATACAGGAGGGCTTTCCATCCAAGTTGCTAATAGAGACAATTTTAAATAGGCCTTTCTTACAGTAACAGCAGTTAAAACTATTTAGCTGGTTTCAATTCCCATGGGATGAACAGTGACTGAATAATTACAGCTATAATCTTTTCAGTCTCTTCACAAAAGTTTTCTGCAGAACTATGTCATTAAGACAGGGCTTACTGTATGTAACATGTCTATAATTCAGCTGGGCTTAATGGCTCCTACTTATTTCATTTTTTCCATTTTCCTTCGTATTTGGAATTTCATTAATGTTTTGTCACAGAAGTTTATGAAATAGATGAAAATTTGATGTTCTATTTGTCATTTATATACATAAAGATACTGACATAATAGTGAAACTACAGGAAACATCCAGATGCATAAGAACAATAAAAAAAATCTTTTAAAGAAAACTATTTTTTATTTAAATTCCATGTCTTAAGCACTGTGACAAAGTATATTTTTGACGTCTGTATAAGGTCTGAAGTATGTCTGCCCCTCACTCTGCCCTCCCTCCAAATAAACGAGCCAATTTTATACATATCTACAGTATTTAATAAAGACATCCAAAACAGCCAAAGTTTTTACACAATTGTTTCAGCACTTAAAATAAAGAGAAACATTTAATTTGCTCTCACTCAGACAGCAAAATTAAATAATTAAATGGAGACATAACAGTCTTCTGAAG